GACTTAGTCAAGAGAAAAGTACAGAGACGAGAATGAGAGGTACCTCCCACTCGTATCGAATATGGTACATACTGCCGCTCAGCACTTACAAATCAAGCACAAGTACAAATACAAGTACAGGTCAATGCAAATCAAGTCACTTGTACAAGCATGAATGAGATATCAAGTGATTAGTTGAGTTAGGTCAAGTGCGATAAAGTACACACTTGCCCGACCAAACCAAGCAAATCTTATCCGATCACGTTGGTAAAGAATTTAATCAAGTATCAAGTTCAATCATATATTTGGAAGCACTCACCAAAGGTCTAGAGTGCTTTTCAAAATCACATTTAGATCCAACTCCTTGGTTGGAGTCCAAATCTGCAATAAAATATCATTTAAGAATGTAAAATTCTCTAGAGTTCGAAACATAGGAGTTTTGCTTCAGAAAATCAAATAAATAAAACTCATTTAAGTAGTATTCATTTTGCTTATCATACCCTAGAAAACTCATGCTCGCTCTTTTAGTTTCGAAAGAGGTTAAAACGTTTAAGTTCGTAAAGTGGCTAAAAGACGAGGAAAACATATTCCGAATGGTCGCTACTTTCATTTTTCCAAGGGTACGAGTTTCGGCCAAATTTTAGCTTATATACCTTTATGAAAGAAAAATCAAATACCATAGACAATCCAAGTTCAATTCGACCTCAAATCTTCGCTCAAGTCGCGAGTACACACACTTAACCCTCGAGTGAAAATTTGGGCGGTATGCCCTTTGTATTTAGTTATTTTTCAGCCATTTATGGCTTCATTATTTTCCTCAACTTAGCCCAAATTTGCACATAAGCAATCTTAACACAATAGGATTTCAACTAGGCTCAATTTCATCCAAACACAAGGTAATTCTAGCAATGCAACCATCAAAATCAAAGTTGGAAACCAATTTTAAAGACGAATGGCTAAGTAACAGGTTTGACATCTTCCGGAGTTTTGGTCACAACTGAAGCTACGGATATCATATTTGAATAAATTTTATGGCGTTTCGAAGCTAATACAGAGACCTACATTTCCTATGAAGACATTGACACCCAGTTCCTGCATTTTCAAGGTCAAACTGTGAAATCTTAGAGAAAACAGAAAGCTGTCCGTTAAATAGGCATTTGGGCAGTCAGGGGTATTTTAATCATTTCACATGATAAAGTACTCTGATTGAGCTGAAATTTTACAGAAAGCTAGTTCACTTAATTTCCTACAACTTTCATGTTTTGATCCAGACCTGATTCGGCCTTTATCATGGACGAATATACAGGTAAGTTAGATTCCAAAAACATGGCAGAATCACTATAATTGCTGAAATTGAACTTTTACTCTAGAAATTCATATCCAAACACTTCACCACATTCATTTCCTAGCTCAATACCATAAATTATGAGGTAAAAAATGATAATCAAGGCTGAAAATTACAAACCCTAGCTAAACATTCCACTATACCATCACAACTAAGAATTCAACCATCAAAATCAAATATTAAGAACTTCTATCCCCAACTTTAGCAAAATTAACAAAAGTAAAGCAAGTTCAAGCATGATACCTTCCCAAAGCCCCTTGTAAGTGAGAAACAAACCACTTTCTCCCCAAATTTTCAGCACCCCAAGTCTTCCAAGCACCAAAAAGAAAGGTTAATCGGTTTAGTTTCGTCGATTTCGCTCAAACAAGCTTGATTCAAGGTGGAAGTTGCTAGTTTCTCTCTTGTTTTGTTTTTCTCTCTTGAAGCTCAGCCAACAAGAAGGAAATGGAGCAGAATGGAAGCCAAGAGAAAGCTAAGAAGAAAGAAAATTGGTTTAGTCAAAGTTGGGTAGATTTCCACCAAGTGTCACCGTATGGTTAAATCTCAAAATTTTTCTTCTTTTTCTCTTTTTTTTTGGTCAAAATTTTTGGCCACCTCTAGGATATTTTAGGGTTGATATTTCTAAAATAAAAGTAAGGAGATTAAGGTAATAAAGTGGTGTTCAAGTGGCGTATTCAATCGGTGGCAAACAGTGCACGTCGGTTCAAGCCGATTTTCTTTAGCTCGCACGTACTAGTATTTTAACTTATGATTCACTCACTTATTATTAACACTTCTAATCACATACTTTTTATTATATAAAACTCACTCTTAACCACCAAATTTAGTACACACCTCCACAATTAATCACACTACCAGAATACGTGAAAATCCTAATTTGCCCTAACTATAAAACTAAGGACAAAACTCTTAATTCTATTATTTCTTACAACTATTGAGGGGGTAAATGAGTATTAAAGATATTATAAAGTAATATAATCAAAATAAGAGGAAATTTTAAGAAAATATGAGCGAATTTTCCAGTCGTCACAAGCATGCTTAGCTATGTCATAGCTGCAGCATTATTCCCTTCCTAGTGCACAAAAAACTTCTCAACTTTTCTGGCACGAGGCAAGGTAGTCCAGATGCTTTCTTTTGTGCTCCACTGCCAGAGTCTGGCTCAAGCTTTTTTCAAAGTATCAGATCCAATATTACAAAAATTGCAGTTTAGAAATGCATAAACCTTGGTATGAAATTTTGAATATGAAATTTACTCTAAGTAATACTCTGACTCAGTACTGGAGTTAGGACTTTTATTCAAATGGCATAATAATTTTACGTTACACTTCCTATGTGTAGTTTGTAGACTTTTGGTACAACTACGTGTTCCATATAAATTAATAGACATGCACCAACTCAATATTAGAAAAATAAAATAAAAAATTCCTTGTGATTTACTGTCTCTTGTATTTATTAGTTCATCTAAGGGAATAGAATTGCCCCAATTGTAAATATTACCCATAAAACTACAAGATGTACATTCTAATGATAGGGTGTTAATTGATAGTAATTTTATTGTTAATTTTCCTCTTTGCCCTTGCCAAATATTGTTTTAACTGTTAACATATACTTATATTTGGTATTTGGACCTATCTACAGGAAGTGGAACTGAAAAGTGTTAAAAGGGGGGACTTTCTGGAGAAAATTGCTCCACATGTGGAAGGCTTCTAAAAGTTCCACAAACTTGGCCTACATGATGCTACAAAACAGATTTCCTTTACTTTTGCTGGGGGAGATGACTTGTATGAGGGAGTCTTATTAGCAATAGGAAACGAAAAGAGGGGAATTCAACAGAGCTTTACTTTTTGTACTCTTTCTATCAATTCGGCAGGGACCACTGGAGAGTTAGTGATTGTTTAAGAGATAGGACAGCTTTTCTTTTCTTTTCATGCGCGACTTTTGTTCAACAAAAGTCCCAACTGGAGAAACATCTTTTACTTCTTGATTATTTAGTGAAAAACGTGATGCCTTGAGAATCAATTAATTTGCGTGGATATTTACTTATGCGGCGTGGCTAAGCTTTTCATCTAGTTAAGGATCAACGTGACAACGCGTCCTGAATATCCGTGAGATCAAATTAGTTTTCATGCGTTCCTTAATTTGTTAATATTTGCACGTTATCTACTTGAATTTTCATGGGATTATTTTGTTAATTGGATGTCAAGAGCCCGATGTTCAATGTGACTTATTAATCTCTTGCCAAATTAGTCAATTAAATCCGTAAATATTTAATCGATTAATATCAGTGGTAACTAGCATTTTTACACACTAGGGGAACGTGCAATCTGATTTAAATAACCCTCGTAGCGTGTTATTGGTTGGGGTTAGGTTTTTCTAGTTCTTACCGTAATTGGGGAATTAATTCCTACAGTCGTACCTAGGAGTATTCTTTTGTTGGGGGTAATCAATGGCCGTACCTTAGTTATCAATAAATTAAGTAAAATTGGTCGTTAGATCCCGTCGGTGACTATAACTAACTTATTAATAAATTAAGTGAACCTCCTTTATATCAATGATCGGCTGAGTGGGCTATGTCTGAGATGTTGTATTCTTGACTAAAGTTTGTAGTTTGTTGATTTAATTCCTGTCTACAGTCATTTTAGTTAATTGTTTATTTTTGATTGAATTGTTTAATTGCTCTTATACTTATTTCGAAAAAAATCCCCTATTGCCAATTGGAACTTCAAAGAAACAAATATTCCCAATCCCTGAGGAGACAACTCTACTTGCCACAGTCTACTAGTTAGTAAATTTTGTCAGCTAATTGATTCTAGTATATCGGATTAAGCAAACTTTTCGAGAACAAGATGAATCAAATAACCCATTGCACACCTAGAGTTCCTGTTCCAGTACCTAGAATTGATTATTGACTGCTTTTAGTGGTAGTTAGGTTTTATTATTATTATTGCACAAGTTCGACACCTGTCAATTTTTGGCGCCGTTGCCGAGGGCTGGCGTTAATTATTTGTTTCTTTTTAAGATTTATTTCATTTTAATTTCCTGGTATTTTTTCTAGTTTATGTCTTGTTCTTCTCGTACAGGCGAATTGATTTTTGACCCTGAAGTAGAGAAGAATACACGCCGAACTAGAAAAGATGAATGAGGTAGAAACACCCTCTATGAATGTCCCGACGCGTAAGATGAATGAGGTAGAAACACCCTCTATCCAACAGCAACTTTCTGAATTGACATCCTTCGCGCGACAACTAGCTGTAGGAAGTGCCTTACAAGCCAAAGTATGTGGGATATGCACTGCCGTGGGTCATTCTGCGGAGATGTGTCCACGGTTCAGGAAGAAAATGCAGAACAAGTATACATGGCTGGTCACACGCCCGCGCCAAGAAAGCAATATGACCCATATTCAAGTACCTACAATCCTGGTTGGAGAGATCATCCTAACCTCAGCTATGGAGGGAATGAGTAGTCTAACTTTATGCCAAATAGACAACAAGGGTACCAGCAGCAGTACCAACCTCGACCACCACCTCCTTCACCGAGCTCTAGTCCATCTTTGGAGGAGATGATGAAATAACTGATGGTTACTACAGCGCAACATCAACAAAAGACGGATTCCGGACTGCAAAACATAAGAAATCAAATGGGTCAGACACAAGTAATGCAAAGTCAGATGAGTCAAATGGCAGTAGCAATCAACCGTCTGAAATCCCAAGTTTATAGAAAATTGCCGTCTCAACCTGAACTGAACCTAAAGAATGTAAGTACAATGACCTTAAGGAGCGGAAAGAAAATTCAAGGATCCGAACTTGTGATTCCGAAGGATAAAAATGAAGATCGAATTGAAGAAGAGCTTGAGGAGGAAGGAATCAGAAATGCAAATCCAAAGGTAATTTCTGACTCTATAATTAAAGTTGGAACTAACTCACCGCCTTTTTCAAGCAGGTTAGAGAAACCACAGAAACAAGATAAGGAAAAAGAGATTCTAGAGATGTTTCGAAAGGTGACAATCAATATCCCTTTGTTGGACACGATCAAACATGTGCCAAAATACCCTAAATGCTTGAAAAACTTGTGCGTCAACAAGAAAAAGTTGAGGGGGGACGAGTATATTATGGTAGGTGAGAACGTTTCAACGATTTTGCAAAGGAAACTACCACCTAAATGTGGGAATCCAGATATGTTTACTATCCCATGTAAGATTGAACATTTTAATATAAAAAATGCCATGCTAGATTTAGGGGATTCTATTAATGTGATGTCTAAATCAATTTATGATTCTCTAAATTTAGAACCTTTGAAAGAAACAGGGATAATAATTCAATTGGTTGATCATACATTTGCTTATCCGGATGGGGTAGTTGAGGATGTTTTAGTGCAAGTAGATGGATTAATTTTTCCTGCTGATTTTTATGTGTTTTATATGAATGATGAAAGTGCCCCAAATCCATCACTCATTATATTAGGAAGGCCATTCTTGAGTATTGCCCAAACTAAGATTGATGTTAGTAAGGGTACTCTCACAATGGAATTTGATGGAGAAATAGTCTACTTTAATATTTTTGATACAGTGAAACATCCTGTTAACTCTCACTCTGTGTTTGTTATTCATGCTATTAATCCCTCTCTGCAAAAATTTTCTGAGTTTGTTTGTAGGGGTAAATTCAAAGTTGCTGCGAACAAGTATCATAGGATGAAAGTAATTCATGGGGTGAAAATGAGTAGAAAATTAAGGAAAAACGTTGCACTCAATGGCTATTTGGATCCCGAAAGAAGACTACCGATTACAAGGAACATTGAATTACATCCAGATTGAAGAGTGGTGTTTAACGTCTAGCCAAAAACGTTAAACAAAGGCGCTTTTTGGGAGGCAACCCAAATATTGGTTTTTTTTTTTTTTGTTATTCAATTCTTTAAATAGGCCGTTTCTCACTTGGGTACTGATTAATCATGATATTTTCCTCCGCTATGACCAGGACAGGGAATCTTGGCGTGCCCACGTGAGGAGGGCACGCGTGAATCGTCTAAACCCCAGCCTCAAGGTCAGTGGACGTTTTTCAATCTTGGCGTGCCCACGCCATGTTGGTAAAATCTCAACATCTCGCGACGTTGGCGGGAAATGGAATTTTGGCGTGCCCACGCGAGGAAGGCACGTGTTAACTTGCAAAAAGTGCCCCTAAGGTCAGTGGACGTTTTCCAATTTTGGTGTGCCCACGCTGCGTTTGACGACCCAAGAAAAAAAAAAGAAAATTTCAAAAATTAAAAATATTTTCCGTTTAACTCAGAATTTCAATTTTCAAATACCAAAATTTAAATTTTGAATTCAAAAAAAAACCCCCAAAAACTCTTTTTTTTCTTTTCTTTCTTTCCTTCTTTCGTTATTCTTCCCCTGTTTCTCCTTTCCCCTTCGGCCGAAACCATGAGCGCCACCAGCCATCATCGTCACCCACGCCACCCGCCGACATACGCCGTCCTCACAAACCTCTACCACCACCGCGCCTCTCTCTCTCTCTCTCCTCCCTTACGCTCCTCTCCCAGCAGCCGCGCCGTCGCCATCGTCAACCTCCACCCATGGTCTCCCTCTCCTCTAGCCGCGAGCCTTCAAGCATGCCAGCCCATGACTGTCACCATCAAGTGTCGTAAGCCCACGACTGCTCTCTCTTTCTTCCACAGACAGACCGCCGCTGCCTCTCAACTCCACAGTCGCACGCCTTTATTTTCTTCACCCGGTTCGCAGCCAATGCGCACCACCGCTGTCCCACTGTCTTCATTTGGAAAATGGGGGAGAATCTGGCGGTGTTATGCACCACACGGGATTTCCGCCTCCAATTGGGCCTAACCCACCACTATGATCCCGCCACGGTCCCCGTGATTTCAGGGAAGTTCTGTTACCCTTCTTCTTGTATTTGCTGATTATTTGTTACATTGAGGGCAATGTAATATTCAGGTGTGAGGGGTATTCGACTGGTGTTTCTTTAATTTTCAGCTTTTCTTATTCTGCTTGTCTTATTGTTGTCTTGGTGAATATTGTGGCAACTCATTCTTCTATTACTAAATGTGTTTTATTCTATAAATTTAGTTTCAATGGCAAGTAAGAGCATATTGTCTTGGTTAATACTGTGAATTTAATGACTTTGTGCGAATTGTGGTTAACTTGTTTAGGCAATGTAAATATTTTGCTGGCAACTGTTGTGGGGATTGGTCAACTGTTGATCTTAGTTCTCCATGTTTAGGAGATGACGTGGGCTATGATCCTGAACTGTGTGGTATTTTGGTATTTTGTTGTGAATAACATATGGCTATACTCTGCTAGTGTCGTCACCCAGTAACCGGGAGTCTTCACCACAAGTGTCAACTCTCGCGTCAAAACGGTGGCGATATCTATGAGTAGGAGGTCCTGAAGCGATGAAAAGTTGAGTAATTGAGCTCTTTCATCTAAAAATGTCAGAGTTAACGTCAAAAGACTTGAATGGCTTGGGACTAAACATTTATTCGTTCAAAAGAGAAAACAAAAAGAAAACAAAAAAAGGAAAAAAAAAGGAGGAAGAAAAAGAAAAAAGAACAGATGTGAAGAATATGTAAGCTTATGATCATATTGGTCTGCCGATCCTTAGTTTTTAATGTTGAGATTTTGGTTGTCAGTTGGACCAATTGCTGACGGTTGCTAGTTTAATATTTTGCTTTTTTAGATGAGTTAGCCATGAATTGGATGAGTCTGTGACCTTAGGAGCTAACCGGGAGAAATATGTCTTGACACTTAGCCACTAAACCTTGATTTTGGTGTAAGCATAGCTTGGCAATAGATGACGTGAGAGCTGACCATTGTTTGAGTTTAGTTATTCTCATACTTGAAGGCAAGTATGATTTGTGTGTGGGGGGAATTGATAGAGTGTTAATTATTAGTAATTTTATTGTTAATTTTCCTCTTTGCCCTTGCCAAATATTGTTTTAATTGTTAACATATACTTATATTTGGTATTTGGACCTATCTACAGGAAGTGGAACTGAAAAGTGCTAAAAAGAGGGACCTTCTGGAGAAAATTGCTCCACACGTGGGAGGCTTCTAAAAGCCCACAAACTTGGCCCACATGGTGCTACAAAACAGATTTCCTTTTCTTTTGCTGGGGGAGATGACTTGTACGAGGGAGTCATATTAGCAATAGGAAACGAAAAGAGGGGAATTCAGCAGAGCTATACTTTTTGTACTCTTTCTCTCAATTTGGCAGGGACCACTGGAGAGTTAGTGATTGTTCAAGAGATAGGACAACTTTTCTTTTCTTTTCATGTGCGACTTTTGTTCGACAAAAGTCCCAACTGGAGAAACATCTTTTACTTCTTGATTATTTAGTGAAAAAAGTGATGCCTTGCGAATCAATTAATTTGCGTGGAGATTTACTTATGCAGCGTGGCTAAGCTTTTCATCTAGTCAAGGATCAACGCGACGACACAGTCCATCTGTGAGATCCAATTAATTTTCATGCGTTCTTTAATTTGTTAATATTTGCACGTTATCTACTTGAATTTCCATGAGATTATTTTGGTAATTGGATGTCAATGGCCCGATGTTCAATGTGACTTATTAATCTCTCGCCAAATTAGCCAATTAAATTCGTAATTGTTTAATCGATTAATATCAGTGGCAACTAGCATTTTTACACACTAGGGGAACGTACAATCTGATTTAAATAACCCTCGTAGCGTGTTATTTGTTGGGGTTAGCTTTTTCTAGTTCTTAATGCGATTGGAGAATTAATTCCTTCGGTCGTACCTAGGAGTATTCTCTGGTTAGGGGTAATCAATGGTCATACCTTGGTTATCAATAAATTAAAGAAAAATTGGTCGTCAGAGCCCATCGACGGCTATAACTAACCTATTAATAAATTAAGTAAACATTCCTTGCATCAATGATCGGATGAGTGGGTTGTGTCTGAGATGATGTATTCTTGGCTAGAGTTTGTAGTTTATTGATTTAATTCCTGTCTACAGTCGTTTTCGTTAATTATTTGTTTTTGGTTGAATTGTTTAGTTGCTCTTATTCTTATTTCGAGAAAAATCCCCCATTGCCAATTGGAACTTCAAAATAAAGAATATTCCCAGTCCCTGAGGAGACGATCCTGCTTGCCATTGTCTATTAGTTAGTAAATTTTGTCAGCTAATTAATTCTGGTATATCGGATTAAGCAAACTCTTCGAGAACAGGGTGAATCAAGTAACCCATTGCATACCTAGAGTCTCTACTCCAGTACTTGAAATTGATTATCGGCTACTTTTGGTGGTAGTTAGGTTTTATTTATTATTATTGCACAGGTTCGGCACCTGTCATCTAATAAGCTAATAATGGAATACATTAAAACTGTCAAATGAATGTTACGTTTGCAAGCAATTCGTGTGACTAAACATATAAGAGTTCAACGTTAAGCAAATAAAATTTACAAAATAAGAAAAATTGTAAAAAGAAATAATAATAGGATCATACAATTTGTGTTATTTAAAAGTTCCATTGTAGAATTGGTGAGGGCAATTTGAAAAGTCATTGCTTTTGGAGGGGAAATTGTGGGGATTGATTGAATATTATGAAAATTTAAGGGGTAAGAGCGAGACAATACTAAAAATATTGACCTTTTCTAAGTTATTCTATGATTTTTCAAAAGTTGGGGTTACAATTGCAATCCTTGGAGTCAACATAGGCCCGCCTTGCTCAAACTAGAAGTTCACCCCTGCTTTGACACTAATATTGCTAGTTTTTCTTACCCCAAAATTTAGAGTTGCAGACAACAAAATTTGAAAATTTTGGATAGAGGAAGGAACGATACTTGCACAGAGAAGTTCAAATATTTGTCATTTGCAGGTCCAGAAGTTGTCCAATTGTAACTATTGGGAATATGTTAAATTGAGATGGTATTTCCTTTAACAGTTGGACACACACTTGCTTCATTGTTGGCCTCAGCAGAGGATTGGGTTCTATACATGATAATGCCAGCTTTACCACCATGGTCACTTGTTTTGACTCTTGCTTACTTGGAGATGAAAGTCGAGGATCCACAATGTCTTTCAACAGTATATCATATGCTGTTGAAGTGGATGATGATGCCGACAATGTGGACAATATGAAATCACCTGGATGCTTCCCCATGATCACTTCTAAACCTAATACTCCAAAACTATAAACATCACATTTTTCATTTACTTCCATGGTAAAAGCAAGTTCTGCAATTCACAAAAAAATAATCACATTAGACTATGGTGCAGATGAATCCCTTTAGAATATTGAATCATAATCCAAAAGCATAAATTGCTTTGCTCATGCTAGCATTATGTAATTATGGATAAGCGAAAATTGGATTTGTTTGAGCAAAGAAGAGTATACCTGGAGCAGCATATCAATAAGTTCCAGCAAATGAAGTCCAATGAGATGAATCAGGCCTCAAGATTCTTGCAGTACCAAAATCAGAAATATGGGCTTGATACTCAGAGTCTAACAAAATATTTTTGCTAGATATATCTCGATGAATTATGGAAGGCGAACAATTCTGGTGCATGTAAGATAATGCATTTGCCACATCCTTAACAATACTTACCCTCTTGATCCATTCGCAATTGGCTGCTGTTTCATCATTGCTCAACAAGTGCATCAAGCTTCCCCCTTCCAAGAATTCATAAACCAAGAAAATGTGTTGTACATGTGAACAGAATCCATACAGCTTCACGATGTTGCGATGCCTTATATTTGTTAGTGTATGGATCTCATTGGCGAAATCTTTTGGTCTCCTCAAGGCACCATCATCCATTCCATGAAGTTTCTTGACCGCCACCACTT